GCTCAGTCGCCCTGCTGCTGCTCCGCTTGCCGCTGCGCTAATGCTGCGCTGCCGCCGCTGCTCCTTGCTCGCTCCTGCGCTAATTAGCGCATCAAACAGCGCTCTGGCTCTGACCATACCGTACCGGTATAGTGCCGGTAGGTCGATGCCTCCAAGTGAGGCTGTACCGGTACTTTATACCGGTGGGGCAGAGGCCGGTCTCAATGCTGCGAGGCCTGGCCATGCCCTGAACCGTCCAGATGGACGGTTCAGCCCCAACCGGCGGGCGGCAGCCTCAAGAGCGCCGCCAGGCCCAAACGATAATGCCGTTTGGGCCTACCCGTCGGGTACTGGTCCAAGATCAGGCCCTGAGGGCCTGTACGACCCCAAGGTCGGGCCTTTAGGCCCTGATGTGTCCCTCCGGCCCTAAGTCGGGTCCGGTAGGACCTGTGTGCGTCGAAGATGTAACGCACCTCTCTGCACCCGGCTGCGCCCTGGCCGGCTAGCTATTGCAGCGTGCCTGCCCAGGCCAGAATGCCCCTGCCTGGGCAGGGCACTTTACTTTATGGAAAGTGCGGCTCTGTGTTGGGCTGGGTGGGCCTGGCTGGACGAGTGTCCGGTAGTTTCCAGTAGCTTCCAATTGGGTCCCAGTGTCTGCGCCCAAGCCCACTTTTACTGTTACGGGCCTGGGCCCTTTACAGTTGGGCACATCCAGGCAGCCCTCCAGGCTCCAAGTGTCTTCCGCGTTCTCATTGGCTTACGGTGCATGTGTGACGACAATGCTGTTGTTTAAGTGGCCTGCGGCCAATACGTGATGTGTCGGCCTCCCACTGTGTGTGCCCAAGCGCAACCACCTGAGCCCTGGGCTCAACCGCACGTCGCAGCTGCTTCTTCTGGAAAGAGCCAGGAGAGGTTCACATTGCTCGGTAACCATACCCACATATGGAAAATGTCGAAAGTAGGCCTCTCGTGGATATTCAGGCCCGCCTTCTGTAAGGGCCCCGTGAGGGCCCTCACTTGCATGTCTGTAAGGGCCCTGTGAGGGCTGAAGCCTCGCAGCTGCTGTAAGTTTGTTTAAATTGCCTGTCTGTGAACTTGTTTGAATTGTCCATTTGTAGATTTGTTTGAATTGTCGACCAAGTTTGCTTTATTTGTTCACGCATGAGGGAGTACGTTGAACTTGTCTAAGTTTGGTTGATTTATTGCCTACCCTGAGACGATGTTGGTATTGTTCGTAAAGGTGTTTTGTGTTTCTTGAAGGTTGCGCCTCATGTGTCAGGCTTGAACCCGTTGAGATGTCTAATCTGCAGGGGTTGTCAGGCCCTCTACGGGGCATGCTGGAAGAAAGCGATTTTTTGAAACTTCTGTGTTGATCAGCCCACTTGCTGGACGGTGAATGTGATCTTGTTTTCATAGCTCTGGTCTTTAGGTGGATGACTACGTTTGTGAGGCAATGTCTCTCAGCAAAAGGAAGGAAACCCGATGTCACTGAATTTTTGTAATGCTGGCCTAACATGATTGGACGAGCTGGACCATGAGAGGCTTTGTGACATTGGACAAGCGTGATCATGATTATTGTAAAAGATCTGCCGTCTTCACTCGAATAGAACACCCAGTCATCATGTCTGTACCCAGACAGAAAAGTGCCCCAAATGCAGGTATAATGACTGAATGTCTGTTCATGTGAAGACCGCAGTCTGGAGCCCCGATGATGGCAACTGGGCTGTGACAACAGAGGGCCATACGATGCAAATCTTGACCACAGTGATCATGGCTTGATGATGATTATCATGTCGACGCGCATAACAGTGGTGTGGGGACAAAATGTTCGAGCAGCAAGTACTTGTGGAAGACCATGCATGAGAGACCTCACTGAAAGCAGAATTGGTGAGGCTGAGAGCACACTGATGCAAGACCACACTAACCAGAGTAGCACACTGATGCAAGACCACACTGACCAGAGTAGCAGCCCTAACTATGATATGCTTGTCTGCAGTGCTTCCATAGTCTAGCCTACCACCTCGGCCTACCCCCTCTCTCTCTTTCCTCTCTTCACGCCCCCCTTTCTGGATGCCGCTAAAGAGGCTGACCACATAGGTGTTCTTCAGCCGTACACCAGGTAAGTATCCGTCCGTCCCCACAGCCTCCCTCCTCTCCCAAGGATCTCCCCCCTTCTCTTCGCCGCCTTCCGTCCATTGCACTGCCTCCGCCGGTTATGGCAGTCAGATGCGGCAGCAGCCACTTCTATCACTGCTCTCCACTGGGCGCTGGTGGTCCTCTCTTTTTGCTTGTGCACTTGCCTGGCTGCCGATGATACTGTCCGCTTAAGTGTCGCCCACTGCACCGTCTCCTTTGCCTCTACTGGAAGCCAAGGTCTGGGCCTGCATTGCCTATCGACCTGCGTCCTGGCCTAGGTACCTGCCTGGTTGGTAGCCCAGCTCAGGGTCTGCCGGATAGTTACCTGGGTGGTGTGCAATTGGGACCCCCATGCTGAGCCTGGATGCGGCTGTCACTTGGGCCTGTACCTCCTTCAGGGCCTCACGCTGACAATCAACTCATGAGAATCATATCTGCGAGGGGTGTGACCTGTCTGGAAATACCTGGCTGTATAGGTTGATCTTGAGCGGCCTGGTTGAATCATATCCAGGGGACGGTCATTTTTCATCAGTACTGGAAAGTTAAGACTTTTGGTAGAGACTTTTGGTAGAAAATCACCTCCGGAGGTAAAATGAAAATAAATATTAGTTGCAGCGAACCCTGTCCACATTATCTGGGTGGACAAGTTCTGCCTGGATACATGTGGCAAATATTCATCGTGGACACCCAAACAGCTTGGGTGTGTCGTTGATTCTCCTCTTGCATGTCCGCATGGGCCTTTACCTCCTCTCCTCACCTCCTGCCCGTTCCACAGTACAAGCAACCTGCCCTGACGGCTATACTCTTTATATATTGCAAGCAAAGCTGTGGTGAGCAACTGCTAGGTATGTGGATTTTGTGCACTTGATTTTGAAATCACTGTCGCTAGTGGCATATTATTGACTTTGACCCGCTTACACAAATGATGCTGGAACAGGTATGGCGGGCGAAGGTTGCTGTTACGACTGCTGATGTACCCAAGACTGTGGATGGTTTTTGCATCTGCCATTAAGGCTAGGAAGACGCTTTGTGGCAGTGAGCGATGTGGTTGTTTCTACTTCCTCTCTTTGGGCTGCTGCTCTTCCATGAGCTTTGGGCGCGTTGCTTTCGATCCGTGACTCTCACAGCGGCTGCTGGTAACACATTGATGCGATCGGATCTCCTTCGTATAGTCCTTTGTGAACGCATCAATAGCGCTGCCATGCTGAACTCAGAGTGGGGTTGAATTATTGGTGGATTGGTGGACCGGAGTGCTTGCAGTTACGACCAGACGGGAAAATGTTGGTGGTCGATTGGCATTGCTAGTCCTGTAGCTTGGGCTTGAGGACATTAAATGCAGGGTATTACATCATGGAGAAAGAGTATGATGTGACCTGTGCAATTGGGCAGTATCATAGGTGTGTCTAATGTGTTTTTTTTCTGAGGCAGGGAGGGGTAAAAGTGACCTGGTGGGAAACTTCTGTGATCTACAGTCTGCATGACGGGAAGGCCTCTGTGATGTGCTGTTAGTATTGAGGGGGTTATGGGTTAGGGTGCACTTTTTTGTCCCTTGACTAATCCGCTTTCGGTTCCGTAGGAGTGAGCGCAAGGTAGTCAGAAGCACATGTGTGCTTGTGCACATAGAGAGAGAGAGAGAGAGAGAGAGAGAGAGAGAGAGAGAGAGAGAGAGAGAGAGAGAGAGAGAGAGAGAGAGAGAGAGAGAGTTGCCGGAATATTGCAGATAGGCAACAGAAACTTCTGAAGAATCTCTGGAAGGTGCCAGTAGACACGAAAGGCTTTTGTTGATACCCAGTTGAAACGTTTTCTGTAGAGATTCTTGTTCCTTTACGGCAACTCGGTTCTTCGTTGTTATCAGCATTGGACCGTCAAAATGAGTGATGATAATCAGCAATCTGCTGCGGTGGTTGGAAATCTCAGCATGGACCTCAGCAAGCCATGGTGGGAGGGAAATGTGCAAGTGCCTGAAGTTTTGAGTCCAAACGAGTGGTTGGACTATGGTTATGGTGCATGGGAAATAGAGTCGAGTAAACAGGTGACATCAACAGTCACTGATGCAGAGGATGCACCTGACATGAAGTCTGGTTCATCATCCTTACCTGTTGCTGAACCCAGAGCTCTCTTGGGGGACTTCAATGACGGTGATGAAGCGGGTTTGCCCAGCCGGGCTTCCGTAGTACTGAGAGATGATCTCTTGCGATGTGGGAATGCTGATGATGCAAAGGGGGAAGGCCTCGGGGAAGAGGAGGGGGAGAACAATGAGAAGCAATCGTTGGAAAGCGAATGGAGTACAGTATGGTCCAGTGATTCTGGAACTGTTGGGTCGAAGGCCGACCAATTGGGGCGTCCAGAGTTTGAGGAGGCTGATAGTGAGGAATGTGATGTGGTTGAGAACTCCCTTGGTGAAGTGGAATCCTTTAGCCGAGGGAATGTATTTTCAGGAGACGAGGAAGCTTGGGAGAGGAGCGACCTTGTGGAGACAAGTCAGGAAAGGGAGCTGAGTGGGTTGCATGAAGAGGCTGGTGTGCCACCTGAAACAGCATATCTCCCTCCTCCTTCGGGGAAGGAGCTGTGCGATGAACCTGCAGGTTTGATGTCATCGGGCGCACAGGCTCCTGGACAGGTCCAGGATCCTGGAAGCGAAGGGGTAGTTGTAGATGATGGCAGGGACAATGCGAATGCATCCGTGAGGCAGGAGGGCGATAACTCCGACAAGCTTTTAAGTCCCGGGCAATTAGCATGTGCATCCTGGTCGGATACTTCACCCATTGTTCCAGGTGCTCGCAGATGCAAGTCTCGCACATCTGTGTACATGTCGTGCCCGTACGTTGGCGAAGCAACGAGGAAAGATCTGCCGTCTGATCAACCCTGTGGGAATCCAGAGGTCCCACCAAGTCAGATGCGCAGGTTCAGCTATCCGTTGCACTGTGCTGGGAAACTTCCACCACACTCACCCCCATCCCCAGCCATGAGACGTCACCTGGCAAGGTCATCGCCTTCTCGGTTTGAAGTTCTTGGGCCAACTGTTGAACAGTGGATGCAAGACTCGGTGTATCGTATCCTTGGGTTCGGCTCACCTGTGGGTGCAGAGCAGAGGAGTCGGGTGGAGAACGAAATACAAGAATTTAGGGACAACGTGGCCGGTCTAGAGAAAAAGGTTGCTGAACTGGAGCGAGAGCTAGCCGTGCTGAAGAAGGAGCTTCAGACTTCACGTGCGAAATCTGCAAAGCATAAGGAGGAGGCCTACATCAATGCAATCGCACTGAAAAAACAGATCCATGAATGTCAGATGTATGCGCGAGATTACAATATTGCGCTGCAGACTGCAGATGATGCAGAAGACAGAGCCGCAGATGCGGAGAGCAGAGCTGAGCAGATGGAGGTGCAGTACAGGGAACAAATGAAACGTCTCGAAGCCATCTTGCAAGAGACCAGGGAATTATTGGAAGAGACACAGCGTGAACTCCACTGTCAGAGGGAAGAGAACACAAGGTTGCAAGAAGAGATGCAACAAAGGACGGTGATGACAATGGAAGAGAAGGGCGATCTGCAGGAGAGAGCCACCAGGTGCGGGCCACTGGCGAAAGGAGATAGCCAGAAGGAGGCCGAGCTCCAGAAGCGGCTCGAAGAAGCCCTAGACGAGGTGGGGCGTCTGAAAAGGAAGCTGGCACAAGTTTGCGAAGAGGAGGTGGGAAAGGGGCATGCTGATGAGGTGGTTATGGGCGCATCCCCTGAGAAAGACACCTTGGGCTCTAAAGAAGTCGGAACACAACAGCGGGAGCTTGTCAAGGCAGACCTCGAAAATTTCAAGGCTGCTGGCGAGCTGGATGGATTGTCTGAGCCGAGTAACAACAGCCGGCTTCTTTTTCTCAACCGGTCTGAGCCTGGGTCAGAGACAGAAGATTACGATGATGCCAAAACGGTTGTTGATGACGCCACAGTATCCGGTTGTATCTCTGATGAAAGCTATTCGAGGACTAAGGATAGCCTGAGCTACGAGGGAGAAGATGATCCAGATGAAGAGGAAGAGGTTGATCTGAAGGAGTGCATTAGGGCATCTCATGTGAGGAAGAGGTTGACAATTGCAGCGAAGGAGAGCATGAAATTGGTGGAAGCTGTCAAGGCTGCAGTATGTGTGGAGTACCGAAAGCGGAGGTTGCATGAAAACCTGCAAGAGTTGGTGGGCCTTGATGGGTTGTCTCCGGAGGGGGCGAAAATGAGAGAGGAGCTCGAGAATCAGGTCCGTGTTGCAAATGAAGAGAGTGAGAAACTGAGACAGGTGTACCTGACACAGCTCTTGATTGCAGAGAGGGAGAACAGGAAAGTTAAGGAGGAGATAGAGAGGCGAGGGTTGATGGAGGAGCTGGAGCAGAAGAAGCTTCAGGAAGAGTTACAGAAGCAGATGTCTCTGGACGACTGGGAGAGGATGCCTCTGAAAGAACAGTTGAGTGGGACTAGCGTGGGAGAAGTCTCAGAAGATTGGAACTTGGAGGCACTGAAGCGGGAGAATGCACACCTGAGGGAACAGAACTGGATGCTCAGTTGTTCGCTGAGTAAACGGCTGAGCAGCTCCTCGGATGAAGAGAGGAGTGTGGAGTTCCTCCTGGAAGAGACGATTGGGGATGGGGATTTGTTGCCGCCCAGTGTGATTCATGAGGCTGTGTTGCAGAAAATGAGAAGAGAGAAAGCAGAACTGGAAAGTATGCTGCAATCGGCTGCTGCGGAGAAGGAAAAACTTAGAATGGAACTGGGGGCGAGTGTGGACCACGTGCGAGAGCAAATAGAGAGGGGTGAAAAAATGGAGAGGCTGATCAGGTGTCTTTACGAGGAGAATTCAAATCTGAAAGTCCACTTCGATGGGCTGGACGAGGAGGCAAGAAGTTTGCGGGAAATGGTTGGCCGGCAGGCACGGCTTCTGGACGAGGAGAGACAGAAAGTGGAGATGCTAACCGAGGAGAGAAGGAATGATAAGCACCAGCTGGAGCAAGCTATCAATGTTCTGGCCCGGCATGTAGAGGAAGTAAACCACGTGGTTGGAGAGAAGGATGCTGCAGTCAACTGGGAGCGGAGAATGAACACTACACTCAGCTCTCGCAATCACGGTCAGTTGCAGGAACTGTACAAGTGGAGGAACTGCCTTCGTGTGGCCATTGAAGGGCTCCGGAAGACGTGGAAGTCCCGCGCGTGTGAGGCACACCTGTTTCAAATAGAGAAATCGATCCTAGAAAAGCCAGGTGACCATGGGTCTGATAGCCAGCAGGAAATGCCACCTTCTGTGGAAGTCCACCATAGGCCAGCCCAACCGCTTGCAAAGAATGAGAGGCCATTGTCACCTGTAGCAGCACAGACTCAGATTGTGCTGATGGAGAAAGAGAGACTGTATTGGAAAAATGAGTTCGAGTCATTGAGAGCCATGCTGCTGCAAGAAGAAGATCAGTTTTGGAAGAGAACGTCTGCTCTGGAGGAGGAGCTTGCTGTCGTCCAGGCCCAGTATGGCGATAATAACATGAAACTGAAGACCTGGTCAAAGCTAGCCGCTCTGGTCAAGGAGAAGGAAGCTCTGCTGACGACAGAGACATGGAGTCATGACGATACTCTGGGCAGAGGCAGCGCCCTGTTCCGCCGGGAGCACTTGCAGGTAGAGATTAGTTTGCTTAAGGAGGTCCTTGAAGAGAGGCAGCTGCTGAACAAAGAGGTCTCAATGCTGTTGGATAAGCTTCGGGAGTTTAGAAGCATGTGCCATCCTCGAGACGGGGATGCACTAACTGGTGAAAGGGGTCCTAAGGCACTCTCAGCACTCTCTCCTCCTGGGCAGCAGGTCAAGTGTTTGAGTCCTGATTCTGGGAAAGAATCCACCATCTTGCACATTAGAGCCAAGTGGAGACAGGAGATGAAACGGCTAGCAGAGAAGCTGGAGGATGCACATGCAGAGATTGCTCGGAGGGAGAAGGAGCAACAACAGAAGGACATCGACTACAGCGACATGCGCGAGTTCATGAGTATAGAGCTCAGAGTGCTATCGGAGAGGATTGAGGAACTTGAGCAGATGAACAAGGCACTGGGTGCCGAGATAGCCAGGTTGAGACTGCAGCAGCAATCGGAGGAGGTGGGCGTGGTGGAGGGCAAAAGCGCAGTGTGGATGGAAGACGTGGGTGACCTGAAGGCTAACGAGCCTGAGCTCAGTGCCAGCCTGGATCTCCCTGACATCGCTGTTGAACATGCAACCACTGAACCTGCTATTGCTGCTGGAGATATCAGCCTTTCGGAGTGGGTCTGCGGAACACAGGCTAGCGGTGATTACGTTGGCGGCAATTGTGTTCAAAGGGGTCCGGGTGGGACAGAGAGGGGTCTTCGGAAATGTATATTGGTTGCGAAGGAGGAGTGTGATGTGAGAGGTTGTGTTCTGCGGGCTGTCTATTCTGGTGCCCTACGAGCGGTGGAAGAAGAAGCGCAAGAGCAAAGGGCTCAGATTCATCAACTGCCCTGTACAGGCACGCAGAGTAGTGTAGGGGATAACAGTCCTACTGTACAGACAGGGGCAGATAGTGTCCGCAGTCCTGGGACCATGGATGGAGAAGTGCAGCCTACCGCACAAGGGGCAGAGGAGAACGAACGTCTTCGGAAATGTATATTGGCTGCGAAAGAGGAGTGCGATGTGAGAGGTTGTGTTCTGCGGGCTGTCTATTCTGGTGCCCTGAGAGCAGTGGAAGAACAAGCGCAAGAGCAAAGGGCCCGGATGCAGCGGATGCCCTTGACAGGCATGCAGAGTAGTGTAGGGGATCACAATCCAACTGGGCAGGCATGGCCAGATAGTGTCCTCAGTGATGGGACTATGGATGCCGAACTGCAGCCTGTCGCACAAGGCGCAGAAGAGAACCAAGGGATGCGGGTGGAGGGCAACTGCACCACAACTGAGGACTCTCCTTCCAAGGAGGAGGTTGTGAATTGCACATCAGTTTCAGCAGAAGCGACAGTGAAAGACCTCAGAGCACAAAATGAACAACTGGAACAGGATGTCATCCACATGAGGACTGTGGTACAGGAGCGGCAAAACCAGGTGGAAGTCCAGGAGCAGGAGAATGAGAGACTCCATGTGGAGCTTAAAAGGAAGGAGCAAGAATGCAACGACCTAAGGACTGTGATACGGGATTGCGAAAAACAGGTGGCCGAGGAGGAGCACGAGAAAGAGAGACTCCATGAGGAGCTGAAAAGGAAGGAGGGAGAATACGACGCGCTGTGGACCGTGATATGGGATCGGGAAAAGCAGGCGGAAGTGCAAGAGCAGGAGAAGGAGAGACTCCGTGCGGAGCTTGAAAGGAAGGAGGGAGAATGCAACGAGCATATGAACACACTGAAGCAGATGGAGACGGAGAGGGCAGCACTCAGTGAAGAAAGGGAAGCAGAACAAAGAGAGGAAGATCCGGAATCTGTTGCTGCTGGGCAAGGGGTAAGCAGAAGGAGGCCGTCTGATAGAGAAGAAGCTGGATGCCCGACAGGGGAAGATCAAGAGCGAATGGTGAAGGGGGAGGGAAAATGTGAGGGGGTTGGTGTGCTTTGCAAGGAGGATGTTGCTGAGGTGACTATGCGATTTGTCCAGGCGGACTTGCTCAGACGACAGGAATTATTGACCCAGGAGCTTCCACTGGCTGCGATGGAGGCAGAACAGAACGACTACATAAATGCGACACGAATGAGGCTGGCTTGTCTCGGGCCACTTGCCTCAGAGAAGGGTTTGCTTGCAGACAGGGGAGCAACGGCAATGCTGGAAGAAGATGGTCTAGAGACAGAAGAATGGACCTCCTACAGGAGGAGTTCGAGTCCTCGGGACGAACATAATCTTGGAGAGGAGAAAATCGCAGAGCTTGAAAATCAGCTTGCACGAGTCCAAGTAAGAGGAGAGGAGCAAGTGGCGGCCATGACACTGGAGCTGGCTGGCCTTGAGAAGGAGTTGTTGGCACTGAGAAGAGATTTGGAGGTAAGAGATGACAGAATTAACGACTTAGAGCAAGAGCTCAATCGGTGGAGATGCCATGATGACGAGGTAATGGCAGCGCAAGACGTGCAGCGAAAGCTGAGGGAAAGGGAACATCTGCTGAGCGAGTTGGCGGAGCGGGATGCGAAGAGCGCCGGGCTTGAGCAAGAGCTTTTGACGACCCGGAACCATCTCACACAGCTTGAGAAGGAGCTGAAGTCAATGGCGAGCATGGAAGATGCTCATCGAAAGGAGCTTGAAGCCCTGTCTGTCATGCATGAGAGGGAGTTGCGTAAAGCCTGGGATAAGATGAAGCAGAAGGACAACTTGATAGCGGAAAAAGAGAAGGTCATCGCGTTGCTTGCGACAGATACAGGCGATGGCAGGCGGAGAGTTCTGGGTGAGGCGGCAGGAGCACCAGTTGGACGCGTGAAGCTGGATGCTGGATCTTGGTGCATCGAAGACACTGAGAATTGGGAGAAGAACGAAAGTCAGGTACTCTCTGATACTGCCGATTTGCAGGGAGAGAGGAGAGGGTGCAGGAAAGAGTCGACTGCGGCCGAGGTAAATGAGGGCGGGACAAAGACGAGTTCTCTGGACAAAGAGAAGCGCTTGCGACTGAAAATGGAGGAGCTGAGTAGGAGAGTGAGGAGTATGCAAGGAGCGCTATGGGCAGAAGAGCGATCGAAGGTCGCTGAATGTGCCCGTCTGAAGGACGAGTGTCGTCTGAAAATTGAGAGGAGAGAGAAGGAGATGAGGGCACTGTACACTAAGTGCCAAGCTGTGCTGATGGAGCTTGAAGGGAAGGAAAAGCGGAACAAAATACTCTCCGATAATCTGAGCAAATCGGAGAGGGAGGTGGCGGTTCTCGGTGATGAGAATGATCGACTGGCAGATGTGCTAGACAAGGTAGACCAGGCATTCGACTGCTATGCGGAGTACCTAATGCAGTTGCCAGGTATGAAGATGCTTTCAAGGATTGTGAAGACAGCTGTATTTGAGGACGCTGAAGACGGAGAAGCGGAGGAGCGTCGAAGTGAGGAGAAGGTGGGAGGTAGGTCTGATCAGCCTGCATGTGTACAACAAATTTCGCATAGAGTATGCACAGTGTATGGAGGCCACGATGCCCAAAAGGGGTTATCTGGTTGTCCGTCTTTGAGTTTTACGCCTAGGAAACAACGGAGGGGACAGAAAGTAGGGCATGAGACCTGACAGCATGCCAGGCAGCTGGAGCGAGTTCTCTCCAGCTTTTGATCTCTCTCTCTCTCTCTCTCTTTCTCCCTCTCCCTCTCTCTCTCCCTGTCCTTTGTCTCTGTTTGGCTCTATGTCTGTCTATCTCTCTCTCATCCGTGTTCCTTGTCATATTTGTACAGACCACCTTGCAGACAGTCCCTTGGCTGGGCCTGCTTTAGTTCTCCCCCAGGGCAGGGGTGTGTATTGTCCAGGATGAGCCCCGCTCTGCTGATGGCAGATTGTAGGTTTTGTCAGGGTCAGGCCGTCTGTGTTGATTTGTGGAGGTGCCATATCGAGAAAGAGGCTATCCTATTCGAGTCTCTTGTCTTATTGTTTCCTGACTTCTTCCTTTTGTTGCGTTCTTTTTTTTTTTTTTTTTTTTTTTTTCTACTTTTTCTTTGTCGGAGTTACTTGGCTGGAATAAGGTGTGGCGGGATCAAATACTGAGGGCCCAAAAAGCACCTGGTTTGATTATATGTCACAGCTGATGACATTCCGCTCCACCGCGATACTTATCTTATTTTATGATAAGTCTGCAACTTCTACACACCTTGGCCGTCGTGTTCACGTGTTCACGTGTTCACACTCGTGGCAGTGATGTCCTTGTCTACCTGTGTGTTTGGGTGAAATTCTGTGGCCGCGGTGGTGTTCACGTGCACCCAGTCGCGGCAGTTTTGTTCTCGTTCACGTGGTCGGTGCTCATGAGTGTTATTTCTGCAGGGCTGTGGTAATTCGTTTCTCCCTGTCTCCTTGTGTTTTTCCCTTTCCGCGCTAGCTTTTCTTAAGACGTGCACATCCTTTGACGGCGGCCTTATTGCGATCTTGGATGGGTTCTGGAAGACAAAAAAAAGTAAAAAAAATCGGGACATGAAAGAACGGCATTATGCCTTTTGATGTTTACTTCCCGAGTTGCGATTTGGCAGCTCTTGAAGGATTGAGAAGTGTGTGCCGCCCGCCACTTTTAAGTTCTCCACAGCTAGCTCGTGACTTGTTGCGGATTGGACTCTGCTTCTGGCCAATTGTGTTGATTTTGCGAGTTCAAGAGCTGTTGAATGGAGGGGCGGGCCTCAATGGTGTGACATTCCTGCTTAGACAGCAGGAATCTGCCCGTAATAGTGGTCAGATTCGTGTTATGGATGGGCAGATTCCTGCTTGTTTAGCAAAAAAAAAACTAGCAACAATTGCCCCCGACCCCGAGATGCTCGGATTCAAAGGTATTCGGCAGTGTATTGTATCGATTGACACTGAGGTTGTCTTGCCCGGATCGTGTGTCCGTCTTGCAGAGGACAGGTACCACATCGCCTCTCTGGTTGTATGTTTTTTTTTTTGTTTTTTTTTTCCGGTCTTTGATTTTGATGATGAAGAAAATCGGGAAACCCTCCATGGTGCATAGCTCAAGGGTACGCATATGGGACACAAGGTCTTATTGGATTGGCTTTTGAAAACTATAGGGGGTAAGGTAAAACCCACCTACCCACCACCAACCCATTCCCATCCCGGTTGGGCAGAGCGAGAACGGTTGCCTGCGTCTAGTACGTCGTCAGACTGACAGCGGAGGGAAGTTCAGCTCTGTGTCATGGTGTCGTTTCCACATGCATCGGTCGGTTGGTTCCACAGAGGGAAGTTTCTAGTACGTCGTCAGACTGACAGCGGAGGGAAGTTCAGCTCTGTGTCATGGTGTCGTTTCCACACGCATCGGTCGGTTGGTCCCACAGAGGGAACTTCGGGAAGGCGCCGGAACAAGAATCGATCAGTTGCAGATGCGGTACCAAGAAATCCTTGTGCCGTATGTGAGGCAGTGCCTGCAAGTGGTAGCAGCATTCTGTTGGCAGTTGACAGCGCCTCGCAGTTGGCAGGCTGAATAGGTGTGTCGTCTTCTTCATGATGGGAGCATGTATTTTGCCTCTGAGGGACGTTTGCCCAGTGGTGGTCCTTTCTGGATGGAAGAACACAGTATAAAAGTGCATCGTTATATGCACTGTGGTTGTGAAGGAAACCACAGCGCCTAGCGCAGAACAGGAGGCGCAACTTGAATAGCAACGGAATAGAGTAACGGAAGTGTGCTCGACTTCAGTAGAGATGGGAAGCCTTTAGAGATGGCTAATGGCTATTGAAACTTGCACTGAGTGCAGTCTTAGCGAACAGGTGCTATAGGCCTCGAGTCTGCCAATTTATTTTGAGAGTTGTTTATTCACTGTTGGGATCTGCGCCTGTTTGTATTTGGGTGGGGTGCGTGTGGTAGTTTTGCTTATTTGTTTTTTGGTACTGTTGTCTTTCGTTATTAACTTATTCGGCTCAAATTATATGTTCTTTCTCAGTGCATCTGTTCTAGATGTTCCGTTGTTCTCTTACCTTTAGCTCCTCTCTCTCTTTCTGTTTATCCATTCACGAAATCAAACTCTCTCTCTCTCTCGCTCTCTCTCTCTCTCTCTCACACACACACACACAC